GAAGGGTTCAGGGGATCTCGTAGTCGAGCAGTCTCGACTAGAGCTTTCTTACTTGATAACAATAAATGTTGATTTACCTAAAAAGTTTTTGCCGAGTGTATATATGCATGTACATATGTATGTACATACATACATACATATGTATGTCCATTAAGTTATCTGCATGAATGAAGAAGGCAATCAATATTCTCATACCACGTATCCACGAATGTTTGGAGATGGCCAGGAGTGATAGGGTTGTCGCTGTTGGAGCCGAAGTTAAACGATGAGGGACTACTGCAGAGACCAGGTGCTGCACTTTAGCCTGCGCTGCTATCAGCTGATGGGCATGCACGGACTGCCCTTACCATGCGACGCGCATCCACGGAGAAAGGCAAGGCTACTACATGTCTGGGCCGGGTGCATTCTGATGGGATTAAGTGGAGTGTCCTATATGTGCTTGACCAGCGACGATGACTTCCTCTACAAAGGTGACGATTTCAGTTGCTTTAATGATGCTATGAAGTTTGGCTTTGCCGAAATGGCCATACTAAGCATCTACTGGGAGACACTATCATCGCAACGAGTTCACCTGGCGCGCTTTTGGCATTTGTATGAAGTTCTGGCAGCGACACATTCTGCAACGACAACGCCATCAGGTCTAACCTTGTGGCAACAGCTGGTACAACACTGGCGCTTCCTCCTCATATTCTATGGGACGTTCATGCTGGAGCTAGCGCTCTTGTGTGCTTATGTGGCACTGCAGGAGGGCTCCCGACATCTTGTTCTCTTCTGGATCACCTTTCAGCCGTTCATCTTGGTGGTGCACCTGCGCAACACACAGTTCGTGCTACACATGGATCTGTTGCGCCAGAAACTCTTGCAGTTGGAGCGTGAGCTGATTTTACTTGTCGAATACTCGAGCTTTGCCAACGGCTCAGCCAGCTTTTTCGATTTCGATAAATATCTAAGGCGTCGTGTGCACGAAATGCAGATGATTTACGCGCGCATCCACGAGCTGTGTACCTGCTTCAGAAGAGGGTTCAGCTACTCCATGCTTACCGTGCTGCTTATGATTTACATTCGCATCACAGTCGATAGTTATTTTTTCTTGTATACCAAGCTTAGCAACATTACCAACTTGGGTAAGTCTTTGCAAACCATTTTTCTTTAATACCCTCTTTCTGTCTCTCTCGTTCGTTCCATAGACTACTACCTATTGTTGCCAGCAGTCCTGCATATACCCGCCTTTCTCTACACCTCCCAAAGCTTCATGCAAATAGTGCCTCGGACCGCCTACCAACTGCATAATATTGTGATTAGCTGTTCGCCGGTTTCCCTGCAGGTGCTAAGCTAATCTTTATACTGAGTCCTCATATACGAATGACCAATTGCTTTCACAGATCCAGAACTTTTCGCTAGAAATTCTGCATGAACAGATGCGCATTGATTGTATGGGCATAGTTATTTTAGACAATCATCTGCTGACACAGGTAAGCGTTTCGGCAGCAACGGCCAAAACTCATTCAAGCCCAACGATTCTAGATAGCCTACGCCGTGTGTACTTACATGATCTTTACCGTACAGCTGATGCCTAAATTGAATGGGGCCTATTTATAGTTAGAGTCGTCTACTTTATATTATATTAAAGCTTTATGTATCTATCGTATATTTCATAAAATTCTAACTTAAAATGAATGGGCATAAGCATCCTGTGTTATATGTATGTAAACATGTATGTCTGTGTGAGTATGGGAGTTGCGTCAAGCGCTGCTTTGTATTTACACGTGCGTTTAGATCCAACATTTGCTTAGGAGATTGAGCGAGGAAGTGGAGTTGCTGTTACAGGACTATAAAACTAATCATCACTTATCCCATCCCAACCGAATGTACATTTTTTAACATTTGGCGGGTTATGTAACTCGTCTTGCTTAAAGTACGATTGCAATTAAGTGCGTATCTTATAGGTCCTATATAAAGACAAATATATATGTACATATATATCAATAAGGATTATGTATACATGTATCTATATATATATATATGACTGTCATTTTGATGGTATGCGAATGTGTGCGCCTGTTTGGGCGAGCGCGTATGTGTGTATATGTGGATGCATGGGTACATATTTGTGTGTGTTTAGCTTTACCCAAAGGTCTAATCGTATTCATGGCTTGATTCCCGCTTCGCCATAAGATTCTCGCGCTCATCATCATTCCCCTCGATAATAGTTATAGTGTTAGATTGAGTGGAGCGATTGAGCGGCTTAACACGATGCACTGATGCGGTGAGACCAGATTCAGTAACCACCTCCACATCGTCGTCTTCCTCGTCATCTGGCACTGTGAAATATGGATGCGAAGAGACTGGACGGAACTTGTAGCCAGTAAGCACAAAGAACACATATGTGGCCATCTCGCGAAACATCTCGTCCAACCAGGCATACTGAAAGACGACTGTCATCTGCAGTAAGTCCACAATAATGCGTGTAAAGTAAATATAACAGACGATCATAATGTAAAATTGGCGGAACAGTTTTAGCTTGCGTAGATTAATTGCCGCCTTGCCGTCCGTGGCGGACGCCTCATGCAAATGGCGGATGGACCATACGATGGGAAACAGTATAGCGCCGCAGCAGAGCAAGTCCACAAAGAAGAAAATATTGTGCCAGGTGCGGAATTCAGCATCGCTTTGATCGGATTCGTCTGTTATTATTTGGGCTACATTGGCCAATACCTGTAGGGAACACAAAAACATAAACATAAGCCTAAAACACGAAATGCAAAATAATTGGTAGCCAACCTGAAGCGGAATGACAATCATGAAGATCTTTTTATCTTTATCGGAGAGTATATGTTTGATGAATGTCCAGCCGGTACCAATGAGCACAATAGTTATAAACAGGACAGCCCCCTTCAGTAGATGCGCAATGTAGTAGAGTATGGCCCATGCTTCGACATGCTCGCCACGTTTCTCAATAAAATGGTAATTGATTGAATGGAACATAAGAGATAGCGACTTTAAGAACACAAGCACAGCCATCAGGTAGTGTATCTTGTACACGGTGTGCCTGCAATGAAATAAAGCATTATGAATCAAAAGAAATTCGTCTATTCACACTATGCACTCACTTGCTCTTCTTCAGAATGAATACCCAGAATAGGCCCGACAAAAAGAATAACAGACTCATCATAAAGTACAAGGCCGGCAGAGGCATTTCTCCAGCAGACAAATAGTTGCCATTATTATTTTCCTCAATATCCACCTAAACAAACATCAATATGATTATTGTAAGTAGAAATATCGTTACAAAACTCACATTAAAAGACAGCATCTTGGGCCGATGATAATTGGGGCAGGCATGGAAGTACAAATTATACAATCCCTCATCATGCTGCGTTGCAACAAACATGGAGAACGTGAAATTGTAGTAATTGGTACCGTCAACGGTTAGCTTCATGAGCGGCAGGGAGAAATTTTTGCATAGCTCCTCTTGAGACTGTCTGTAATAGTTGGAGTCGTAAAAGTCAGACACTGAACCTCTTCGCACGGCTTGGTCTACAGGCATTGCTGGCTGCACTTCAACATGAGCATCGTATTTTATATTCTTATTGATGCTACTAGATGACGTCGATGATCCAACATCCACGGCACCAGCATCGACGTTAACGTTGTTAATACCTGCAGCACCAACTTCTGATTTACTGTTCCCACCTGCCACTACATCATTTCGAGCTACGGACGGGACGGCTAAAACCGAGGATGCACCCGCGGCTATCTCTACCTTTGGTTGCGATATGGGTGATGACGAATTTTTCTGCTTAAGATTTGCATTTGCCTTAGGCTCAGCTGCATCCATCTCTGGCTGCATGGGTTTCTCAACCGAATGATCATCCATGTCATCAACCGCTTCGACGAAACCAATTGAAGCCATAGAACGACGTCGACGCTTCTGCATAAATAATGCCGAATCGCTGACCTTAGTCAAGTGTGAGTTGCGCTTGTGACGGTACATGATATCCTTGTAGACGTGTTTGTTTACCCATTCTGGCGAGCATTTTACACGTACTCTGAAAGAATGCAACTTTAAATATTAGGCCATTCGGTAGAATCAATATGAAACTTACTTTAGCTCCTTCAGATCAAGTAGAAAAAAAAGTATTGGGCCACTTTTTTGTTTAGATGGGGGCTCTTCTAGTATGCACTTGTTTTGGTGCGAGTCCAGGTACGGATTGAGCTGATCAATAGTTGTCTTGTCCAGCGATAGACCGAACTGTAATCCCAAAATATATATGCATATGTATATGGGTTACAAGTTATTGTCATACGCAAGCGATAGTATCATACACACCAAATCGGTTGTCTGCTCATCATCAACGGTCAGCTGACTAAGCTGGACATCCAAATGTCCATTTGTGTAAAAGCCGAAGGTGCTCAACGCAATGTACGGGCGCATATCATTCTGCAAATGAGCAAAGAAACATACATAAGTATACATATTTACATAGCATATATATTGTGTATATACATGTCAAATAAACTTTAGGATAAGTTAATGGAAGGTTACATTTACTTACGCGAACTTCCAGGTGATGTTTACGCGATAAAACTACATTTGGAGAAATGAGTAACACCGTGATTAGTGTAGAAAATATTGATTTAATATTTAATATATGCGTTGGCATTAGCGCACGCATTTTTCTTGCTATTGTTTATTTTGCCTACAGTGCCTTTAGCCTGTGTGGCACTTTTTCACCTTTCGAAATCGATATGGGTATGTTGGAAACGACTGTTGCGTTAATTTTAATTAATTAGGTTCGATTTGCTACGCTTTGGCCGCTGCTGTTACAATCACAATTTTCTACAGTTAAACGATAACTTCAACTTTACGTTTTTCGTCTTGTTGCACACAATAAAAAAAAGTTACAGCAAATACATTGCAACTCTTAGTGATGCGTAAAATTCTTATCGATTAATCGATTTTATTTTCTGGACCGTAACGTAATTATCACAAATTAAAATTTGTTCGTCGAAGTCAATGTATACCCACTGACTGAATTAAAGATAAATGATAAATAATTTAATTATTTATGGTTATTAAAAAAAAATATATAAATGTATGTTAAAAATAGGCTTACATGCCAATCAATTTCAACCTTAACAACACAAATCTTGCAAATCAGACCCAACGCCTACATACAAATACATACGCAGATGTGTATGTACATACAGTGGCTCACACCTTATTTCGTGCAGCAGCATAGTACAACTTTGAAATCGTATTCCCGCTAAACCAGTAAAGATATTCAAAAAAGTTAAATGAGGTTTTATTTATTGGTTATTCATTATGTATTAACACTTTCAATTATTTTT